TCACTTCCTCAATGTGAAAAACACCCCCACCCCAGACTTTTGAATCCTTCTCAGCCTACAGAGAGCTCATCATGGCTGCTGCCTCTCGGGGAGCCTTCCCCGTCCGCAAAGCCAGAGTCTGGGGTTCCAGAGAGGGCCCTTGACATGTTACATGTGTGACTACCCCAAGACCAGAGTTCCTGAAGGCTGCGCACCCTACACCTCTGCTTTATCCACTCTGAGTGGCTCAGAGGAGCTCAGAAAGTGTTGTGAAGGATGGACTGAGTCCCAGAGCCAATGCCAATGGGCAGAACATAGCACGCTTGCCTCCAGCTGGGCCTGGAGATGACTGGGGTCGTGGCCAATGCTGAGTCTCCTCCAGTCTGCCAGCCTCCTTCTGCCACATACGGGCCTCGGGAGCTGCACCTTAGTGTTTCAGTGGCCGTGCAGACCCAAGAGTGTCCAGGCAGAGGAGAGCCTCACTGGCCACCTGCCTCTAGGATGCAAATGGATGTGACAACAGGGAGATTGCTGCCCTCAGCACCCGGCTCCTATTTCTAGTCAGGCCCAATAGGGCAGCCAGGTGGGCTCACTCATGCGAGTAATAAGGCTGAAGGGAAAGCATGTTTCTTCACAGTGAGGGGCACATCTGAAAGAACCCAAGCCTTTCCTACATGCTTACCAAGGGCCAGGGGCCCCAGGAGACGAGCTCTGGCGAGCTGGGAGAGTCTGGAGGTGAGTTAAACGCTGTACACCATGCAATGGCCCTGGCTGCTGGCTGGAAGGGAACTCCCTTTCAACTTCAGCAACTGCCACCGCAAAAGGGCAAGGCATCATGGTTTCACAATGCGTATCAAGAATCTTAAAAATGGCCACACCCTTGGTCGGGCCCAGTCATGAATCAAAGAGCCCACGCATTGAAGGAAGTTACCCTAATGAAGGCAGTTCTTTATCTAAAAAAGTTGGCTAATAACTTCACTGTTTGGGGACGAAGACAGACTGCGTGCAGCCAGGCTTAAGTGGCCACCAGCAGGGAGGCTTCTAAATAGCACAGTTACCAGCCATACAGGTGACAATTATTTCACAATTTCAGACACTGTGCTGAAGGCTTCAGGGACATCCATTCTGTCCTAGCTGTGAAGGGACCCATCTGAGGCTTGGTGGCACCAGGTGATTCATCCTGACTTTCTCAGCCACTGGCAACCTAACTCCAGAAGTGGGATTCTTACCACAGGATACTGGCCCTGCCCGTGTGCGTGCAAGCATGTACACATGTGTGTACTTGTGTTTGAGGGAACAGTGCACTTCCGCTTGAAGTATCACACCTATTTTAAACAAATGCCTGTGCTGTTTGAATAACACAGGAGATGTGTCTGTTTCTCTGGGAAGAACCAGAGGATGTACAATTGTGTCTAATCTGGGTGGATTCTCTTAAAATCTGTTAAGATCAGCAAAAGGAAACACCTTGATGAGTCCAGTGTGTGTCTACTGGTGACAGGGCATACTCAGTGTTCTGGTCAGCTTTCAGCCAAGGGACCACCAACACACATTCAGGAGGAAGCCATGGGCTCCCCCAAAGAGATGAGCTGAGCCACCTCGCTGTGACCTCCAAACCTGTCACATTTCCTAAAGTAGAGAACACAGTCATCTGGCAACTGGCTTCGGAATGTCAGGCCACCTCTCACATGTCACATTTGCTCTGGAAGTGGACTGGCGACTTTGGAATAAAACCACAAACCAAAGGAGATCTCACAAGTGGTGCCCACACTTCCTGCAAATGCTCAGGTCAGAAAAGCCATGGTTCATGAGGGCCTGACCTGCAGCCGAGACCTGCCGTCATCCCTGGCTTCATCATGTTCATCACATCAGGGTCACAAGTGACCCGCAGCCGAGACCACAAGCATGCAGTCATCCCTGGCCTTGCACACGTCAGGCCACAGGGTGGTCTCACTGAGTTGACTTGTAATTGGAGTACCTGATATTTTTCAACTGTGATATCTTACAGTAAAGTCCAGCTTTCTGTCTCGTCCTAAAAAAACAAAAAATCAGAGTCTCCAAACGCATCAGGCCACAGGACAGCAAGCAATGTGGGAACAGTGTCATGGCTGTCCCCTTGGAAGGACACCATGTGGGTCGCCACAGCCCTGTCTGCTCTTGCTGCTTTCAGGTACCGGTGCTGCCCCGTTGTCCTGGGCTGTGGTTTTTTCAGAAACACAGGGAGGCATGCAGTGAGGTGTGTCCTGAGTAGAAGTTTCAATCAGAAGAGGAAAACTGAAGCCAGGAAGGAAGGCTGTGTCTCAACCACATGGGAGAGGGAGCACTTCCTAGGACCTGTCTGACGTTGCCTCCTTGGCCTCAAGTGACTGAAAGTTCTCTTTCTAGCCTAGACAGTTCTTAAGAAGCAAGTTATTGAAGACCACATCCTTCCTCCTTTTCTAGAGAGAGTCCTATCTGGTGACGCTCTGCCTCCCACAACCATTCTTCAGAGTCCCTCTGACATTTGTGGTCACCCGAGGCCTCGTCGTAAGCTGCCATGATAAGAGGTGAACAGGAGGATGTTCCTGTGAATAGCCTGACTCATCTGACTCGGGCCCCTTTCAGGGTCCAGGAACTGGGAACTGGGCCCATCATGAGCAGTATTTTGGAGACACACTCCTAGCCTAGCTCTTCCCTGAAGTCTGAAGCTTTGTATGTGAAGATTATGTTCAAAGTCCTGCATGGACAGGAGTTACAAGGTCGCTATAGCCTTAGCTTCTGTAAGTCAGAAGTGCACCCATGGGCTCAGAGTGAAACCTGTGCTATTATCTCTGCTGGACCACCAGCTAGGGCGGAGACGCCAGGATCTGAGACCTGTGGGCTTCAGCTTCCCCAGACATCAGGCTGTTGTGAAGATCAGCCAAGCAGGAATCCACCACTGAGTCTAATGTATTACAGGGCTCCGCACTATGTGGCCCCAAGGTTGTGACCCATCTGAGCCCAAACTCAGTGGACTTGTGGGCATTGCTGAGGTGGTACCCACAATCCGGCCTGGACTCTCCCTCCCCTCACTCAGGTAAGCTCTCTATGTCTCTGCTATCATCTAAGACCTGGACATAGGCTCTGAGGACTAGAGCTTTGCCAGCCCTCCAGACACTTACAGAGGCCTCTTTGGGCTCCCGGGGGGCTTGCCTCCTGCACATGAACTTCATGTGGCAGTTCATCTATGGTGCTCACACAGGTGTGGGGACAGGGAAGCCCAGAAGAAGGTGCTCACCCAAGTTTGGTCAGAGATGCCCAGAGCCAGCTGCTCATACAGACATGGTCAGGGAAGCCCAGCCCTCCTGTAATGCCTCACCTGGGGTTAGGAACTCTTGGTCTCTGTGTTCCCACTGGTCGAAGTGATTACCTCGGAGGTAGCATGCTAGAAAGAGCTGAACTTCCTAGATGGGTAGAGCCAAAGGGTCCTGACTCTGGTGGACCATGCACTCCAGGTGAAGACAGCCTGGGTGGCCCTCTCCAATATTTTTAACTGGTGTATGCTCCTGTCCTTCAAGGCCTTCTTATACCCTTCTTGCCACTCTGCTCCAAGGCCTCCCAGACCTAGCCTGGCTGAGAGCCTGTATTCTCCCCATAATCCACCCAGCTTCTGCCCAGCCCTTGGATGGATGCATCTGAAAATGAGGCAGATGGAGTCCTTTCCAGGGTCCCCAGCATAGAGCCCTGAACGCTTTACGCATCAGGGGCATAGATGGTACCCATGCCCACCTAACATGCCACAGCTCATCACCCAGCCTTGAGTCCCTTTAGGGTCCATTCATTTCCCTAGCTGACTCCCACCTTCCTCCTCTCTAGACACTTCCAGCCAGGCCAGGCCTTCTGACACACAACCCCTCTCCCATGGCTCAGGCTTTATCCCTCGCCCATCCCTGCGCTCTCCACAGGGCAGATGCTGGAAGGAGAAGTTAAGACAGGATGGCATCAGATCCCATCAAGAAACCTCGCTTACTCCTGGGCTTGGTGTCTGAGACCTGTAATCCCAGCCTAGGAGGCTGAGGCAGAGAGGTTACAAGTCCCAGGCCTTGGATAACATAGCGAGATCTTCTCTCAAAGATGAGCAGATAAATAAATCAGGCTGGAGATGTGTGTCTTCCTTGACTGTCTCCCACCATCTGGACCAGTGAGGAGAGTCGAGCGCCCCCCCCGCCCCATTTTAGACTAGAGAGCTTTTCTGACGCAGACAGCAGAGCGTGAATGGCTAGCTCAGGGCAGGATGCCTGCTCGTGAGACGTCCCCCAGACCCTTGCTTTCGCGCCTGGGGGATGGACCTGCTCCATGCCTCCCTGGTGGCTCCGCCTTGGTTCTGCATCTCCTCTATCCCAATGCTGACTTTGTGTACTGGAGAGAGACATGCATCCTCGGGTACGCAGGGCAGCAGACCCTCCCTGTGCCCAGTGGTGAGCATCAGCCTCGATCTCAGAGGGCCTGGGGCCTGCACTAGACACTACCTGGACAGGGAGCTATAGACTGGGCCAGGATGCTCCTGAGTCAGCTGGTGGGACTCCCGTGGCGTCACACAGCTGAACCCCAGCTTCAGCAAGCACAGCAGTCACCCGGCAACCATTCCGAAGGCTACCAGCAAAAAAAGGGCAGGAAAGACCAGGGATCCAGCCCCGCCTTCCCACAGAAATGGAAACTGAGGCAGGGAGAGGGCAACATCTCATCTGGGAGGATGGTAAAAATCAGTGAAACGACCAGGAACAAAACTCCCAGGCCCTGGAATACGCCTCCTCCGGCACCCAGTTCCAGCAAAGCTGACACAGCGTGAGCCCCTCCTCTCCTTCCTCCTCCGTCAGAGCCACTTTCAAGAGCAGGATGGAGAACTCTCAAGAAGAGAAAAGGAGAGACAGATGGCACTTAGTGAACAGGGTGGGGGGCGTGGCCTTGCTCCCTAACAAGGCTATGGACAATGACACCCCAGCTCCAGCCAAGTGGGAAAATGTCACAGGTCCTCAGCATTAGATTTCCCTCCAGTGGTCTCTTACCTTCCCGAAACGGCTGTGTTTGCATCTGTAGTCGGATCTTGACGAGGTCCACGGGCCCTCCCAGCCCGACGGAGACCATACCAGCCACCATGCTAGCCAGGAGTAGGTCAGACAGACTTCGGCCAGGGTCAGCCTCTGGCTCCCCACAGCGGTGCTGGCTGAGGAACCGTTCTGTGTTACTGAAAACCCCAAACACCACTGAGTTGTAGACCGCAATGCTGGCCAGGGGGAAGGACATGCCCTTGAAGAAGCCGAACACCTGTGGCAAGGGGACCCAGCGGGAGGCAGTGTGAGGCCAAGCCACTCCCCTGGGGTCTCCATCTGTGTACCAGGTGTGGGACTCCCCTGATGCTCTGGGCCTCCCTCCAGGAAGCATCAGGTAATGCACGCCAGAGACATCCAGAGTCGATTGCCCAGTGTACCACAGAAGATCCCCAAGAGGGTCTAGATGACACGGAAAAGACAGAGGAGGAAGGCCACGTGCAACCCAGGCAGTCATCACAGACCTAAGGATGAGCCTTCTACACAATGCAGTCTTGGCATCATATATGATGCTAAGATGGTGTGTGTGTGTGTGTGTGTGCGCGCGCGTGCGTGCGTGCATGCGTGCGTGCGTGAGTATGTGTGTGTGTGTGTGTGTCCCAAACATCAGTGTCTGGAGCTGGAAATAAATCAGTAAGTCAGGCCATGACTGTGGAGCATCTGAGGAGCCCTGAGGAGTAGCCGTGATGCTGGAGTACCCACACACCTCCTCTCTTGCCACTCAAGCTCTCTCTCTCTCTCTCTCTCTCTCTCTCTCTCTCTCTCTCTCTCTCTCTCTCTCACACACACACACACACACACACACACACATACACACTGATTTCTGCGCGTCGAGCCCTGGGGTACACCAATAACAAAACAGTCTTCACCTTCACTGAGCTCATGGCCTGGGGTAGGGCAGGTGAGGATAGGGGTGGGGTGGGGGTACTGACAAACTGACAGGCAGCGCAGTACAACTCACTAAGTCTGTGTGTGGGAGACTCACCAAGTCTCCCAAGGGTGCCCAGGACAGCCTGCAGGTGGCAGCATCTCAGAATGGGACCCCCCCTCCACACAGAGACACATATAAATACACACATATATGAACATACATATACACATGCACACATACCACATATGCACACACACATATGCACACACACACACACACACACACACACACACGCAGAAGGAAAGAAGGGGAGAATGAGGAGGGGCAGCTGAGGAGTAATGCTTCTTGATGGGGTCAGGTTCTCCTCTACAACTGTGTTCTCAGTAAGACCACAGCTGCTCCAAGGAAACTGGAAAATTCCAGAGCCGTTGGAAAGTTTAACAGTACGCCTGTGCCAAAGATGAGGAAGTTCCAGGAGGCCAGCTCGCAAACTGAAAACGTGCAAAGCTATGCCACAAACTGGTGGTCCTGACAGGGCAGGACACCCCACACACATGTGTGCACGCACGCACGCACACACGCACGTCTTGTTTCAGGCTCTTCCTCTTTAACTTGGTTCGCTGAGTGACACTGCCTCAGAAACACCACCTGAAGTCCCCAGCAGAGCCGTGGCAGTGAGAACCCTGACTGGCAAGTACTGCAGGGGATGGAAGCCAAAACAGAGGAGTCAACGGCCATCTTTCAGGAGACTGGGGAATCACACCCATTGCCTTGGAACACCGACTATGAGGTTGGCAACACTCGTCCTGAGTTCAGAGTGGCCAATCGAGACAGGTAAAGCCATACTGGCAGTCAAGATGACCTTCTCTGCTGACACTTGCAAGAGGCTGGAGCATTAGCTACGATGGGGCCTGTGACACAAACAGTCACACTGGGTGCATCTCCAGGACGCAGAGAAACGTTGCAGAGCCGCCACAAACTGCATTTGACAGTTTCTTTAAATTAGCTCACCTCATCCTCAATCTAATTTCCTTGTTTCAGATTCCCAAACGGGTAGTCTTAGAAAGAGACCCACTAATTCTTAAAAAGGGAGATGATGTTACAAAAAACAACAACAACAACAACAAAAAAACCAAACATCCCATTTCCTATTTGAAAATCAGCTCCTCGGTCACGCGGGGGAGGTTCTGCATCCGGATGAAGGGAAATCTGTTGCAACTCATCTTTCCCGGCAGTCATTGTTTTGAGAGCTAACAGTGGGGCTTGTTTGCACCGAAACTTTCCATACCGTCGTTCTAAAGTCCTCAGAGCTGCTCCATAGAGCTCACACAAAACCAGTTTCTCCCCGGGATGCACTAGGTGACCAGGGGGTAAGCTGAGGTAAGGTTAGCATTCACCATACGGTACAAAGTGAGAAAGCAGGGATAGATAAGCAGGAACAAGCCGTCTCACGCCTGCTGTGCTGGCGCAGGGGTGTGACCTGGACCGCAGTCCGTGGGAGACCCTGGCAGGCACCCTCCACCCGCCCCAGGACACTTACGCTCTCCCTCTTGTACACCATGCGGATACAGCTGAATGTGTTCCTGTAGCCAACGCCAGCCTGCAGGCGAGTCTGTGGGGAAAGGCAAGGGCAGAGACACACTGAGACAAGTCACAGCCCCCCCAAGACGCCCAAAGGGACAGGCCCTGCAGCAAGCGACCCAGTCGGGGAGGGGGACCAGGCTCAGTCCTGACCAGCCTGCTGCCACGTGCTCTTCGGGGACACGGGCTCTGATAGTCACCCAGCCACCCCCACAGAGCAGAACCTGCTCTGAGTCAGAGAATGACCCAGGGCAGCTAGCTGTGTAACGATGATGGCTGTGGATTTAGGAGGCCTGCTTCTTAAGTACAAAACAAAAGAAAACAAAAACAAGTATTTTCTCTATCTTACCTTCTACTGTCCATCACTCCAGACTTCTAAATGTCTTTGGGGACACCTGCTCATTTTCCTATCTTTCTAGTCTTTGCCACTTTCTCACCCGGACAAGGCCTTGGTCCAGTGCGTCCCTCTACACCACAGCCGTGCTGGTTTTTCTCAAAATAACTTCAATCTTGTTCACTCTGTTTAAAACTCTCCTGGGCCCCCTATCAAATGCTACCTATTTCCAGGACACTTTGGGGGTAGGGATTGGCCTCCTTATCCTGCTCTCCACTCCGCTCCAAGCCCTCCCAGACCTAGCCTGGCTGAGAGCCTGTATTCTCCCCACAATCCATCCAGCTTCGGCCCAGCCCTTGGATGGATGCATCTGAAGATGAGGAGTCCTGTTCCAGGGTCCTCAGCATACAGCCCTCAGCAGCAGGGACATAGACGGCACCTGAGTCCACCTTGCCCTGCTGTAGCAGCCCGGGTCTCGTCACAGGAAGGGGTTTTCCAAGACGCAGAGTGGAATGGGAGGAAGAGGGTGTTAGCTTTTTTTCCCCCAGGGTGTGTTGAGGTGGGGGAAGGCTTGCCTATGTCGGGAGCAGGGGAACTTGCTTCCCTAATGGCATGAATCCAGTGTCCCGTGTCCTTAGAAAGGAGGCAACTCGTTGGCAAGAAACACAGGCCGTGTGAAGGCAGAGCTGTTGGAGTGGTGAAGCCGTGATCAGAACTGCCACAGCAGCACCAGCCTGGAGGGAGGATGGGGCCGAAACCCTGAGATCCCCCAGAAGGGTCCAACACCTTGGCTTTGCTTCATGCTTCCTGACTGCAAGAGAATCAATTTCTGTGTTTTTTTTAGGATTTGTTTGTTTTTAGTTATGCGTATGAGTGTTTTGCCTGCGTGTTTATCTGTGAACCATGTGTGAGCAGCTACCGTGGAGGCCAGAAGAGGACATCAGATCCCCCTGGAACGTTACAGATGGTTACGAACCTCCTCATTTGGGTGCTTATGGGATTGAACCCACGTCCTTTAGAAGAGCAACCAGTGCTCCTAACCACCAGGCCATCTCTCCAGCACCAATTTCCACCAACCTGGGGTAATTTACTACAGCACACCAAGAAACTAAACCCCAACCACCTTTTTATGGTCCGTTTCTCACACCCTATTCAGGAATAACTCGTTATAAGTTTACTTTTATCCCGTCAACTAGAGAAGCAATGGCACATTTCTTGCTGTGACACAGAGGAACATGCTCGGTGAGTACATGGTCAGTATTACTGAGGGGTCTCCATATTGCCCCCGAAGAGAAATGAATGTATACTGCTTACATTTGGGGTTTTTTAAAAAAACACTGAATTTGGTTAAAATGTCGTGGAACCTGGGGAGAAGATTAATTTACACCAATATTAAAGTCACAGCTCCCAGTTGAGAGTGCCCACCGCGTGTCAGGAACAACATTCCCACAGTTACCCCGAAAGGCGGAGTAAACTAAGCCCTGCTCTAACAGGCTACGCAAGCAGGGATTTCCTGAATCAGGGTTTAGAGACCTGTGGCCCGTGAAGTGCCACAGCCCATGATTTCCGGCTTGAATTGTGCCGCCTGCCAATTGACGCCATGGTGTTGACTGACAGAGGAGCCTGCTGGGGAGTAGACTGGGAAGGACACGGAGATTGTGAGCCGGTGGGGTGGCAGGAGCAGACGGTGCCCTCCTGACCAGAGAGAGGACAGCGGCTGAGCCCCACCCTGGAGAGGTGTACAGCAGGAGTAAGCCTCGTCCTGACCGAGGAGGGGCCATTGTCGAATGCAGAGGAAGACAGAGAGAAAAGAAAATTGCAGACACCTGAGTCAAGCTCCAGACTTTCCTGTGTGCGCAGTTCAGGCAGTTTTAGGAATGGCCGGAGCACTATTGGTGTCTGTTTCTGGGGCATGGCTCGATCCTGCTCACCATGGATAGGTCTCGTGTGGGACAGCTGGGACTCAGACTGTCCTCTTGTGGCATCTCCTTCCTTCCTTCCTTCCTTCCTTCCTTCCTTCCTTCCTTCCTTCCTTCTTTCCTGTTTCTCATGATACAACCTGAGACAAGCTCCCCTACTCCTTTGGGGGTACCTGCGACTATCAGGATGGCTGTGCTGACTCTAGAGTCCTCGTACCCTGTGTGCCTTTTCAAATTCTTCCAACCTGACAGTCAAGGCCCTAAGGACTGGGTGCTGACTGGCCTGGATTTGAGTCCACAGTTGTAACATAGATCCACGTGCATCAGCAAAACCGGTCTTACTGGTCTTTGCCAAGCATGGTCCCTACCTAGGGCCCCTACCTCAGCACCCCCTCCCCATGCTGTTCCCTCTGTCTGGCAGATGTTTTCCAATGGCCGGAAACCCAGTCTCACATGCTAAGCTTGGACCCCATTTCATATCTGAAATCCTTCCTGATTGTTCAGCTTTCAGGTACTTAAAGGAGGACAGTCACCATCCCCAGGTACTTGGAGGAGGACAGTCACCATCCCCAGGTACTTGGGGGAGGACAGTCACCATCCCCAGGTACTTGGAGGTGGACAGTCACCATCCCCAGGTACTTGGAGGAGGACAGTTGCCATCCCTAGGTACTTGGAGGAGGACAGTCACCATCCCCAGGTACTTGGAGGAGGACAGTTGCCATCCCTAGGTACTTGGAGGAGGACAGTCATCATGCCCAGCACCTTCCTCACCAAGTCACAAGATCCTGCAGGCAGACAGGGGACAATGAAGGAAATAAAGCAAGTCTCCTGACATCACATCTCCAGGTCAGCAGAGGGCCTGCCTTGGGCTGGAGAGTCCCTGGAGATCAGGGAGAGGCAGGTAAATTCCCAAGAGGTCATGAAAACGCAGCTACCGTACCTTGACTGTATCCAGAGGGTAGCCCACAATGACACTGGCCGCACCTGTAGGTCCAAGAACAACATCCGGTCACCCAAACCCTGAACTCCTGGGTTGTCCTGCCATCCCCTAGAGGAGGTTGAGAGTGGAAGCCATGCTAGCCGTGCATTGCTAGAGAGGTCGTCCAGTGCATGGGCCTGGTCCAGCTACTGAGGAAGGCAGAGAGAGCAGACTCAACCCTGGGCCTCAGAGACAACTAGATACCCATGTGCCGAGGAGTGGAGTTAGACCCTGCCTCTCACACTACACACAAACATTTATCCAAAATAGACCAAAGGGCTAAAACCATAAAAGACACAAATGTGTGGGAAATATACCTGGGTACGTATATATGGAAAACAACCTGGGTTTTGTAACATTTGCAGTTACAATACAGAAAGCACAAACAACAAAAGAAAAAATAACAGGTGAACTAGACATCATGACAGATCCTCTCATGAAAGTGAAGGCAGATGGCTTAAAAAATTGCAGATATTGCTTATAAATCACCTGTCTGTTAAGGGTCTCAGATCCAGAACACACAGAGAACTCTTACACCTGAAACATTGTTTAAGTGACCATGATTGACATCTCTGAAGAAGATATGTCAATGGCCAACAGTACGTGAACATATATACACAACATCATTGGTCACCGGGGAAATGCAAATCAAAATAATAATGAAATTTCACATCCACTAGGACGGCTGCAATGTCTAAAACAGGAAAATAAATAAAAAGTGTTGACAAAGATACAAAGAAACTGGATTTTTGTTCGTTTTTTCAAGACAGGGTTTCTCTGTGTAGCTCTGGCTTTCCTAGAACTTGCTCTATAGACCAGGCTGGCCTCGAACTCACAGAGATCCACCTGCCTCTGCCTCCCGAGCGCTGGGATTAAAGGCCTGCGCCACCATCGCCTGGCTAAGAAATTGGAACTCATGTTTGTATGTGCAGCACATGCATGCAGTGCCATGGAGGCTAGAGGAGGCTGTGTGGGTCCCTGGAATTGCACAGATGGGCGGGTGACTGTGAGCACACGGACGGACACTTGAAACTGCGCCGGGTGGGAGAGAGGAGCAGATGCTTCACTTCTGAGCTGTCTCCCCAGCCCTGAGGACCCTGCACGTTTGTTGGCGGCAACGTGAAGCAGCGTTCCTGCTGCGGAAAACCGATCATTCCTCAAAAAGGTTAGACACAGAACTGCTGCCTGACTCAGCATTTCCGATCCTACGTATATCCCTAAGACTCAAGGACTCAAACAGGCACACCCTGGTCACCACAGCATTCATCACCGGGGACCAAGGGTGGGAACACACAATGTTCCCCAAGTGACATTCGGTGAATAAATGTGGCTCATGACGATGGGTTGCTAGTTAGCCTTAAGTAGTCTTTGTAGCCATTCCCGCCTAACGGAAACATCCCAACCTGAAAGAAGGGTCCTTAAGACTCAGGAAGTAAAACTTACAAGTCCCAGAACTTCCTGAAACTTGTTAAGACTTACAAGGTCTTCTTCCTGAAGTTATGTAACAGCAGGGCTGCTGGAGAGAGGAGACCGTCCAGCTACACTGAGATCAGCAGGAGACCATCCGGCTACGCTGAGACCAGGTGTGCGGCAGCTTTTCGGAGCTGTCCGTCACGCTGGGGTGGGCTTTTCAGTGCTGCAGCTGTCCTTGAGTCAACCATGCCCCTGTAACCAACCCTTGCCTACACTCCTGAAAGTAACTCTAGTAAACTCACCAGCCTGTTGAGCTAGACTTGGATGGAATCATTTCTTCGGTCTGTCATCAATGCTCTATCTGGGGGTGAGCAGCTACATTTGTTCATATCTCCCCAGGTAAAGTCACAAAACAGGTAGGAATGGAGTGCTGGCCCCTGCTGCGGCGTGAGTCAGCCTTAAAAAAATACTGTGCTAAGTGAGAGGGGCCAGACACAAAAGGCAAACATGTTATACAACTTTATTTAAATGAATCATGGAGAATAGGCTAAGTCATAAAGACAGAAAATAAGCTAATGGGTTCCAGGACTGTGGGGAGAGGAATTCGGAGTGACAATTGAATGTGTAAGGAGGAGGAGGGTGAGGGGAAAGGGACGAGAGAGAGAGAGAGAGAGAGAGAGAGAGAGAGAGAGAGAGAGAGAGAGAGAGAGAGAGAGAGAGAGAGAGAGAGAGAGAACACGGGGCTACATACATACTTGTGTAAGGCTGTCTCAAAGTCATCTAGACGAAGAAGCCTTTGTGATCCCTAGCAACTGACATTCACACAGGGTTTTTGTTTTCCCAGGACAAATTCCTCCACCATACTGATGAAAAAAAGACAGCACCTCTGTCAGAGGTGGCTCAACAAGCCAGGCACCTGTCTAGGACCTGTTGCCTGGTCTAGAACCTCCTGTCTTCTTCATCCTCCACTCTCCCCTGAACTAAGTGAGCCACACGGAGTTGATTAGTAGCCAAAGCCTCGCTCTGCTGGTCCAGCCCAGAGGTGGGACCTTAGCTCCCCGGGTGTCGCTGTCTCCCCTCAAAGTGGGGGGAAGACAAGCTCAGGTCCGGAGCAGCAGCCCAGAGCCATGGACAAGCATCTCCAGGGGTGCAAAATAAAGAGTGGGGTGCCAGGGCAGCAGTCTGCAGAGCTTGGAAAATCTGCGGGGCTCCAGACAAACGTGGAGGGCATTGTGGTGAGATTCTGTTGCACAGTGTCATCCAGGAAGACAAGGCATGTGACAGGGACCTCACACACAGCAAGCAGAGGGTGGGCTTGGGCTTTATTCAGAGACTGTCATTTTGCTAACCATTCCACTTTTGCATTGCTATGGTAAAATGATGGTGAGCGTAGTGACTCCTCAGCAAAGGGAGCAAAGGGTCCAGAAGAGGCAGAGATGAGGGCACTGAAGACAGCAAGGACTGACAGGTGACAGCGCCCAACCACAGGGATCCCTCTCTCTGTCTTGGGCAAATGCACCATAGTACTCCACTCCCTGCCCCACGGCTCCACTCCCTCTGGGGGCGAGGCCCTTGAGACCAACCTGATCTAAAGTCCAGGTTCTTGGCCACCCTGAGACCCGGATTCAGGAGCCAAGCCGAATGCCAACCTAAGCACAAATTTCTTGGAGACACGTCTCCAAACGCAGGTGTGCCCGGGTCACTGAAGGGTGTGCACACACTGAGTGGCTCCAATGGTTGTATGCCCTGACCAGCAGTTTAATCATTACGAAATCTAAGTTCCTTGGGGCCTGACATTGAGGCAAATCAGAAGCTCCAGGAAATGGCTGTGAATCTTAAAAGCTTTGCTTCAGAGGCTAGTTGGGACATCAGGACCAGCCAAGCGGACTGGGCTAGGGATTGCGGGTGCTGCAGGCATAGCCCACTTGGGACTTCGTGACGAAACCCAGCACACTGAGAACACCATGTACAAACAGGGCCGCCCTGGAAAGGGTGTGGGCTGTGGGGTGCTGTTCTTTCCCAAGCATGCTCACCGCTCACCTCCAAAAGCACACTCACCTCCAATCCAGCCCGCTGCGAAATCTTCCAGCTGGAAGTTGCCCATGGCCTAGGTGACATGTGCCTTGCCCTCCTGCAGCCGGGGAAACCTCTGTCCTTTCTGTTCAGTGCATGCCGGGCATGGCCCGGGTCCACACACACTCAGGCGACTCTATAACCCTGCAGGTTCTTCTCCAAATTCAGTGTTCCAGCCACCCGCGCTTGAGCAGTCCGCGAATGGGGGCGGGCAGCTGACAACCCGCCCCCCAGAGGATCTTAAAGGCACAGCATTCACTCGGAGCCAGGAGGCTGGCTGCCCCAGTCATCAGGGGAATTCCCCGGCCACCACCCTCACTGGCTCTTCCCAACAACACAGCCTCAGGGGCCTTCCAGGTGAAAGTGGCAGCCAGAGGTGCCAGCATCTGTTTAGGACATGTTTGCAAAGCTGTTCTGAAGAGGGAAGGCGGAGGCTTTACAAACACCACAGGCTGCCTGTCAGAGGACTCACCTGGCAAGACTCCCAGCTGTGTTGAAGGGCAAACAGCCCTGCAACAACTAACTGGAGGTTTGGGGTGAAGGGTTAGCGGGAAAGAGCACTTGCCATGAAAGCACGAGGACCTGAGTTTGGGTTCCCAGGACCCACAAAAACGCTTGGCACGGTTAGGTGGTTGTAGCGTCAGAGTTGGGGGATGGAGAGTCCCAGAGACAGGAGGATTGCTGAGTGGAAAGCAGAGGAGGACACCTGAGGCCCTCTTCTCATCAACACACACACACACATGCATGCACGCACACAAACTGTAACTGAACAGCATCTACAAATCAGAAATTCTTAATGCTTTGTCAGGCTGGTTGAAAGTCATGGACCATTTCGCTATGTGATGGAGTACACACAATTTTCCAAACCAGTTCTCCAGTGAAGAGACTGCCCCTCCTCCTTTGTGTCACACACCGTCCACATGCCCTGGGTTGAAAGCCTCACCTCCTCCTCCTGGCCACACACTGTCTGCATGGCCTGGGTCGAGAGTCCCATATATCAGTGAGTAAATCGAATAAGGTATGGGAGGCACCTTGCCCAGAAATCAGCCTCAAGCCAGCTCCCAGTAAGACCAAGGTTATCCTGCACTTAACTGAAGCCCCCTCCTGAGACCTTAGCAAGTCTGTGGACCCCACTTCACAGGCCAGGAGAGCCATTTATGCTTACAGTATAAAGTGTGCATATACTTCTATGTATATTTCACACAGAAATGGTAGTCCTTCAGCAAAGTGGCCAACGCAGAGCATGAACATGGCTGGATCCCAGTCTGAGAACAGATTCCAAATTAATCCCCTGGGGTTGTCTTCCACAGGGGAAAGCCCAGGAAAACCCTACCCAGAAGGGAAAGCCCTACAGCCTCCTGTGATGTGGACACACAGTACCCTCCTACAGACAGGCCTGGCCTGATTGGGCACCCCTGAATTGCCATAAGAGCCTCCTCACTGTGCAGGGAACAAATGTTTCCAGCAGGCAGGCTGCAGTAAAGCACGGGAAACTGCTCCAGGCCACGGACGCTCTCTGATGCTCTCTTGGCTTATGTGTTGGTAGAAGTCAGTGGTCTCAACACAGTGCAGAAGTTTACCAGATAGCCCAAGGGTTGTTAGTCAGATACAGATATGGATGGTAAAAAGATGGTTTGAGGAACAGCAGATAATTTTGGATTTCAATCTGCAACATCCCATCTCTCCAGTCACAACACTCTGGGGGATCAGTAAGTAGCTCTGCAGAACCTTCTATGTAAGTGAGGCTTCAGAGACCATCACAGCAGAGCAGGAGAGCGCAGCTCACCCTGGCCAGCCTTCAGAACAGCGAGGACAAGGCTGGAAATGCCCTCCAGAACCTGCCTGGAGCTAAGGAGATATGGCAGGGAGCATTCTTCCTTAGTAGCAGCTACCAGAACCTAAATCACAGATACCCTCACTCTACTCAGCCAGAGCTCTGGAAAGACATGGCTCTACTTCAGGAAGCCCACAGGCCCCAGTCCTGCTCTGTCAGCCACCTACCTCAAGGCACACACCTCTCCACTGTCCTTACGAAACTCTGATCACACACACTGCTGGCACTGCCTCAGCTAGAGGATGCTGTGGGCTTTTCACACACTTCTCCATCCGACTGGGGGCAGAAGACTGTATGGACACACATGGCAGTGAGACTCAAGCAAACACTAATCCAGGGGGTGCCACGAGGAGTATGTGTATGGATTTGGTTGTTTGGTGGTGGATATTAATAAGGATGCAAACCCAGGGTTTAAACATGCTAGCTGTGATTGTTATCTAGGTAGGACAAGCATTACAGTCAACTGAACTTTGATAATAGAGATGAGCCTCATTCAATAAATTTAAACACCCTAATAGCAAAAAATGTGACATCCTGAAAGAAAAAGTTGGCTCCTAACGATGGTTTCAGACTTCTGCTCCATCCAACAAATGACATTGTATCAGGTCAACCGTGACATTACATGCAGGGGCTTTGGTTTCTAGGGCAGAGCTGCGATGGGTACCCGTCACTGTGTGCATCTTCCCCATCATCACTGTGCATCTTCTCCATCATCACTGTGCATCTTCTCCATCATAATCACTGTGCATCTTCTCCATCATCACTGAGCATCTTCTATATCATCACAGTGTGCATCTTCTGCATTATCACTGTTTGCATCTTCTCCATCATCACTGTGTGCATCTTCTCCATCATCACTGTGCATCTTCTCCAACATCACTGTGTACATCTTCTCCATTATCATCACTCTGCATCTACTCCATCATCACTATCTGCATCTTCTCCATTATCATCACTCTGCATCTACTCCATCATCACTATCTGCATCTTCTCCATCATCACTGTGGATCTTCTCCATCATCATCACTGCGCATCTCCTCCCTGATCACTGCGCATATTCCCCACCATAACTGTGTGCATCTTCTTAATTGTGTGCATCTTCTCCATCATCACTGTGATCTTCTGCATCATCACTGTGTGCATCTTCTCCATCATCACAGTGAATCTTCTCCATCATCACTGCCCATCTTCTCCATGATCACTACCCATCTTCCCCATCATCACTGTGTGCATCTTCTTCATTGTGTGCATCTTCTTCATTGTGTGCATCTTGCCCATCATCACTGTCTGCATCGTCTCCATCATCACTGTCTGCATCTTCTCCATCATCACAATGCATCTTCTACATCAGCACCGTGTGCATGTTTTCCATCAACAATGTGTGCATCTTCTCCATCATCACTGTGCTTCTTCTCCATCATCACTGTGTGCATCCTCTCAATCATCACTATGTGCATCTTTTACAATATCAATGTGTGCATCTTTTCCATCATCACTGTGCATCTTCTGCATCATCACTGTGCAACTTCTTCATCATCACTGTGCATCTTCTCCATTATCACTGTCTGCATCCTCTCCATCATCACTGTGCAACTTCTCCATCATCACCGTGTGCATGTTCTCCATCAACACTGTGTGCATCTTCTCCATCATCAATCTCCATCTTCTCCATCACCACGGTGTGCATGTTCTCCATCATCATCACTCTGCGCCTACTCCATCATTACTGTCTGCATCTTCTCCATTATCACTGTGGATCTTCTCCATCATCATCACTGGTCATCTCCTCCATGGTCACTGCACATCTTCCCCATCATCACTGTGTGCATCTTCTTCATTGTGTGCATATTCTCCATCATCACTGTGCATCTTCTCAATCATCACTGTTTACACCTTTTCTGTCCTCACTGTGTGCATCGTCTCAATCATCACTGTGTGCATCTTTTCCATCATCAATGTGTGCATCTATTCCATCATCACTGTGCATCGTCACAATCAGCACTGTGAATCTTCGCCATCATCACTCTGTTCATCTTCTCCATAATCACTGTGTGCATCTTCAACATCATCACTGTGCTTCTTCTCCATCATCATTGTGTGCATCTTCTCCATCACCACTGTCTGCAACCTCTCCATCATCACTGTGCATCTTCTCCAACATCACTGTGTGCATCTTCTCCATTATCACAGTGTGCACCTTCTCCATCATCTTTGTGCATCTTCTCCATTATCACTGTGTGCATCTTCTCCAACATCACTGTGTGCATCTTCTCCATTATCACAGTGTGCATCTTCTGCATCATATCTGTGCATCTTCTCCATCATCACTGTGTGCATCTTCTCCATCATCACTGTGTGCTTCTTCTCCATCATCACTGTGTGCATCTTCTCCATCATCACTCTCTGCATCTTCTCCAACGTAACTGTGCACCTTTCCATCATCAACACTTTGTGCATCTTCCCCATCATCACTGTGATCATCTTATTCTTCATCACTGTGTGCATCTCCTACATCTTCATCTCTGTACATCTCCTACATCATCACTGTGTGCATCTTCTCCATCATCACTGTGTGCATCTTCTCCATCATCACTGTGTGCATCTTCTCCATCATCCCTGCACATCTTCTCCATGATCACTGTATGCATCTTCTATATCATCACTATGCATCTTCTCCATCATCACTGTGAATCATCTCCATCATCACTGTGTGCATCTTCGCCATCATCAATGAGCATCTTCTCCATCATCCCTGCACATCTTCTCCAGGATCACTGTATGCATCTTCTCCATCATCACTGTGCATCTTCTCAATCATCCTTGTGCATCTTCTCCATCATCACTGTGTGCTTCTTCTCCATCATCAATGTGCATCTTATCCATCATCACTGTGTGAATCTTCTCCATCATCACTGTGCATCTTCTCCATCTTCCATTTCTGCATCTTCTCCATCATCACTGTGTGCATCTTCTCCATCATCACTATGTCCATCTTCTCCATCATCACTGTGTGCATCTTCTCCATCATCACTGTGTGCATCTTCTCCATCATCACTGTGTGCATCATCTGCATCATCACTGTGTGCATCTTTTCTGTCATCACTGTGTGCATCTTCTCTATCGTCACTGTGTGCATCTTCTCCATCATCATGGTATGCATCTTCTCTATCATCATCTTTGTGCATCTTCTCCATCATTACTGTGCATCTCTCCATCATCCCTGTGCATCTTCCCCATCATCATCATTGTTCATATTCTCCATGTTCACTGACTGCATCTTCTCCATCCTCACTTTCTGCATCATCTCCTTCATCACTGTGTGCATCTTTTCCATCATCACAGTGTGCATCTTCTACATCCTCACTGTGTGCATCTTCTCCAACATCACAGTGTGCATCTTATCGACAATCACTCTGCATCTTCTCCATCATCACTGTGTGCTTCTTCCGTAAGATCAATGTGCATCTTCTCCAACATCACAGTGTGCATCTTCTCAATCATCACTGTGTGCAACTTTTCTGTCATCACTGTGTGCAAATTCTCTATCATCACTGTGTGCATCTTCTCCATCATCACTGTGCTTCTTCTCCAATATCACTGTG